AATATATATATATATATATTTATATATATTTATATATATATATATATTTCTATATATATTATATTATATATATATTTATTAGCCTGAGTTTGTCTTTATTTCGAGCCACTGGTAAAATAACACAACGCCGTTCGCAACACCAGGACTGGTTGCTGTTTTGTGAAATCGCCTGCTACAGGAAAGTATAAGAAAAAAGAAACCGAAGAAAATCTTTAATGAACAGCTAAAATCCATTTGTTATTACATGGCTTTAAATGGCAGGATAAACTACCAATCATATTACGTTCTTATCAGTTTCCCCTTCAATATGAGAGCCTAACTGCAAATATAAAAATGAGCAATCAGAAAATGTTACAGTGAGGGACGTGAAGATTAAGGGTTGTTTTATTTTTTATTTTTTCTTATGTTTCTGAATTAACAATTGAGACTAAAAGCTGATCATAAAATATTTACTGACTTTCTGAATCATGCCTTCTCCTATATCCCTTTCCTTTGAGCACATTTCTTGTTGAAAGCGAGAGTTCTATCTCAGGGCCTTACTCCTCCATCGTTCCAAACATTTCAAGAAAATGGATATATTATTATGATTACCGCATTATCCTGACTTTAAGTTGCGCCGCGGTATGAGTCGCACCGGCCACGGAATGCATAACGAAGAAGTAAAATAAACATATCGCTCCGAAGAACAAGTTCCACCAGTGCCCTCTAGAAGCTGCAAGTGTGAAAATAACAAACGTGAAATATAATAATTTTTCAATATATAAGTCGCAAACCCGGCCAAAGGATGAAAAAAAAGTGTGACTTATACTCCGGAAATACAATCTAATAATGTGATGATATGTATACTCCGGAAATACAATCTAATAATGCGATGATATAATATTAATGTTCTTCTACCCTCAGCTGTTGTCTTCACAGGTCAACAAAGAAGATCAAAATGAAAACAAAAGCTTAATTTTTTTAGGTTATAAATGAAACAACGAGTGAGGCGGATGGACGCACATGACTTAAAGTCGAGTGAAAACCATATAGAGTTTTTTTTTATGAAAATGCTAAAGCTCAAACCTTGTATCACCTCGAACACAACCGAGTGTCAGCATCTTAATAGCGCAGAGAGAGAGAGAAACCGAGATGACGGAAGCGCTTTGACAGCCTATTTTCGTGTAACATCTCCCATTCATCCACCCAAGGGAGTTGTTGGCCGTCTTAGCCTGCTCCAGGCAAAGGAGTGTGTGCATAGGATAGTAGAGTCGACAGGGTGGGACGTGCGCGCGCGCACGCCTTTTATTGATCAAATTCAGATACAGCTGTTATCTGTGTCTATAAAGCCACCCGGGCTGGTGTGTAATGATCTGGAACAACTCTGGGAATTGTAATCAAAAGGCCAACATACAAACTCCGAGAGAGAAGTGGTCTGGAGTGACAGATTAGTTGATGCTGTTATTTCCCACAGCACCCCGATGGCAAATGGAGGCTTACACTCACTAAACACGGCCGTGTGTCCGTATCCCCGCCCCTTCTCTTCTTCCAATTCCCACCTCGACCGGCATTTAACACATGCAACGTTTTCAACCAATGAAAAAGAAGAGTGGAACTAACAAAACAAAGCTTTTTTTTTTTTTCTCTCTCCATGACACAAACTCATGTCAACACAAATGCACCGACGTGCATTAAAACTGCACCAGCCCTCCACGAATTGTTTGCTCCGGGGGCAAAGCTTTTACAAAAAGGGGTCTGGGTCAGAATTCCCCCTTGTGAGACCAACATCTCCATTAACCGTCAGTACACTGGGGTCTTGCTTTCCGCATAAAAAACACTTCAGTGAACACTGGGAGGAAAAAATGAATCATAATTATGAGCCAAGAACTTTGAGGACCCTTGTTTTTTACTCGACCAAAAGTCTAATGATCCCCCAAAGAAAAATCAATCACGTTTGTATATATTAAAAATGCTTTGTTTCTTGCCATGTTTTGTTTTTTTTTTCAAATGACAAAATAAAAGAAAATTAAACAATTTCTTTGTCCCAGTAGTAATTATTAGATGATTCACAGAATTACATTATTACAATGTAGGTCAAAAATCTATTTTAGCAGTATTCCCAACAAGCATAAATACAACAAATCTGACTTATGTAATTTGATTACCTAAATAATAGATACAGCAACTCCTGCTATACGCCGCATGAGGTAATGTACGCTAATGAGGTAATTTACTATAACCATACTAGAGGTGCTAAAAAAAAAAAAAAGCAACAACACTAACTATCTTTTAAGGGAGAATTTTTTTAAATATCTATAGAATGCAAAAAAAAAAAAAAAAAAATCGCTTTCCTTGCAAAGACCACAACAATCCCTGCTGATTTCCACAAATTCTTAGATTGTACAACATACAACAGCCTGCCATTATTATTTAACTGGTGTAAAGAAATGTCCAATTCTTTGATATTATAGGCAGGTTGCCAGTCCATTGTAGAGCAACATATATATAGACAAACAACGAATCCTACTACTCATATAGTATATATAGTATAGTGTCTTTTAATTTAACTCGAATTTAACTCGATTTTTCTGCACGCCTGTCCCACGCCTAAAGCAGATCTGTATTAGATTCTAAAGAGTTGCAAAATCACTGTCACAGAGTAATGTATTTGTACTTATTAAGTATTATTATTATTATTATTATTAAGTATTATTATTATTATTATTATTATTTAAGGTACGGTAGCGTAAGTAGCATAGGTGTGGTGTGACGTAAAAATCAATTATATTTCAGAAATACAATTTTAAGTGGTTGTTTATTTGACAAATCTAGATGTTAAGCACTCTGGCAAATAACTTATTAACAAAATAAATCACGTTTTCTCACATTTTTAAGATTCTATTGATGTTAAGCACTCTGGCAAATAACTTAAAAATAAATCAAGTTTTCTCACATTTTTAAGATTCTATCATGAAACAGTTTTTTTTACTTAAAAGCTATGATATGTAAAAAAAAATTATTTTGGAAATAGAAACCAGCACAAGCTGTTCACTGTTCACTGCTCTTTAATGGTGTTACACGACTCCCCCTGCTGGACATTAAAGCTAACTGCTTACTCGTGTGTGAGTCTCTAGACCAGGGGTGGTGACGCCTGGTGAAACTGAGAGCTACTTGTTTAATACAGACTTCCCAAACAATGTAATAATAATTAGTTCTGATACATACAATAGTAGACACTCTTCTAACCACCGTCATTGCACCCATTTGAATATCATTGCAAATGGAACTGATTCAAAAACCACGGCAACTACAAATTTTTCTGACCCAACAAAATTAAAATTACTATAAAACAATCAACATGTAATTTTTTTAACTGAACCACTGAAAATACTTTTTCCTTTTGGAAATGGAAATTCCTTTTGGTGCAAATGTACTGAAGCCAAACACTGTTGAAATATTTCCTTTGTCAAACAAGCACAACAACTATTCTGTAAACCAGTTTACTTGTCACGTCCATGTTCCCTCGACTCCGGCTAAATAACAACCACGACAAAAACAAAGCTGTGATGACCTTTTTACCAGCTGAGTGTGCCTTTGAGAAACTCCCATACGCCACTACTTTCAACAATGTGGGCCTGAGCCAGAGACATCCGGAAACAGATACTGTCCATGTGGGACTTACTGGTGGCCTAAAAGAAAAAATAGGACAAGGCAAAGGTGATAAATTAATAAAACAATAGATCTATGGATATGGGATTATGCATAACCATGATTGGGGTGGAAAATATAGAGAATACGTCAATATTTTACAAGAGAATCAGCACGCCATGCCCCCTACATGTAATATACAACATGCATTCCTCCATCACATGCAGAGGTGAGTCCTAGAAACATGGGAGTCACAGAAGGTGACTTTTTGTTAGTGGCTCATAAATTTGAGAGGTGGTCATAAGGGCAAACCTAACGTTCTTAACCCTAACGTAACCCTATTTATTGAAAATAAAATGCATGGTGTTGGAAAATCCCTGAGTGATATATAACTAAACATTAATTTTTTTTTTAAATAAAAAAAATCAACTTCAATAAAATAATAGAAATTTGTGTCATTTCTCAGCAGGGAGAAATGGCAATGACAAAGCAAACTGTTTATACTACTAACATTTGGATAGATATGGTTTACTTTTAGTCAATTAGTCATATAATCCCGTAGTGCATTTTCTGAATATTGCCAATAATTTAAGAGTTTAACTTCCCGTGGAACATTTCTGTCACCATTAACCCTTAAATTTGCTGGAATTTTACGAAACCGTTGCAACCTCCCTAACAATGAACCCAAGGTTAACATTACTACATTGAAATCACATCTTTGTTGCTGACATAAAATCCATATATCTCACAACCAACCAAACTGCTACCAATAATTACAATAAATACACACTTCACTAACACTGTTGAGGCAACAGGTGATTGTAAAACAGGTTTTTTTTTGGGTTTTTTTTACTGCTATCTCAAACTATTAATATCATTTTTACTTGTATCTTAATATGAAAAGTGCATCTTGCCCTGCTGATAAATACATATTTCACACACAATTAAATTGTCAAATTGTATTTTAAGCACTGTGATAGGTTTGAAGGAGGATGTAGACATCGGATCTCTAGCACCGGAAACAGTTAAAAACTAGGAAACTGGAGTGACATGGTATAGAAGAATATATAAAAATATATATATTAACCAACTGTTCAAATGCCAGATTCTAAACTGCTTTGGATTAAATAACCTGGATGACTGGCAAAAGACACCAACCTTAGTATTCAAGATGATTTTGTTTTGCCTGTTAATAATATGATTGTATGTGGCTGTAGGATTACAGCCCCATTGTCAGAGAGATTATAGTATCATTTGTCACTACAACATTTACCTTAGCGATTGTCAGCATTCCATTGAGGACCTCATTGTTGTTTCGTACAGGTAAAATTCGGACTTTTGTGTGAAAGAATCTGAAAGGGGTACAGATATCCAGTCAAATAATGCATTAAAATGTACCCCACTCCACCTGCGTTTAACTAAGCAAACCGGATCACAACTCAAGTCATTACTAAATCCAACGTGTTCAATTTACCTGCACTGAATATCAGACAGTATCTGAAGACCCCTTTTCCCACTAAAAGGTAGATAGAAAAGCAGAAAGCTGTTGCGATGAACCTGACTAAAAATGTCTATCCTTTTAATGAGTTCTGACTCCTCGGAAGGTTCCAGATGGTTCTGAAGATCAACCAACAGAAATGCATTCCCTGATGGAAAACACACAAATGGACATGAAGAGTTTACCATCTACTGTTGCTGCAATGTTTTCTGAGGTAAAATGTTGACATTACTAATGTATCATTGAATAATAAAATATTTGACTGGAAATCTTTGTTTAGAAAAAAATGCTTATTATTTTACAACTGAATACACCAACGTTCAAATTTAAAATGTCCTATTAGAAAATTATAATTCAGTTTACACCTCTACAGTATATACATATATGCAAAGGCTCCATTTTATCTAAGTACATGTGTAAATAAAATCGCTCTTTTCGATAAAGTCGTAGTTACAGTGGGCCTGTACTGCTTGATAATTGTCATATAGAACGTTCACCTTGTTTGCATGTTGAAACTGCCGTTTATCCCTTAATTTACATTATTTATTTTGAAAATAATACGTCGGTACCTGCTATGGCCAAAATGTTAAAAACCTACGTTTAAAATAAATAAAGAAATATTAGTTTTACCTGACAGAGGGACGTTTAAAATAAATAAATAAATAAATATTAGTTTTACCTGACAGAGGAAAAATTAAGGCTCCTTTCTCAACAGTTTCAGAGAATCTGATACGATGCTGTTGTGCCATTAGCATCCTGCTTATGGTGTGGTTCTGGCGATTCAAAATTAAAAATGCAAAGTCAATTATTAAAATATTTTTTAAATGCCGAATTTTAAAGGTTTTCCACCAACGTGTTATATTCAACATTTACCTTTAGCGCAGTGCTGAGTATAATAGTTGTGTTCCAAGAAGTAGTTGTCTCCGCCATAACTTCTTTTTTTAAAAAGTGAGGTGTGACGTTCACGGAGAACCGAATCTGTTGACCCTGCTCTTTAGCACAAACAATAGAAACGTCGTCGCAGCTGCTAGCTGATTTTTTTCCAGCTCCGTTTCATCGTTTGTAGGGCATTAAGGTCGTAGGTTTATGTGAAACATGTCGTTAATTTAATTTGAATTTTTAAAACTGTTTTTTTTTTTATCGTTAATTCTTTGAAAAAGTCGTTAATTTAATTTGAATTTTTAAAAATGTTTTTTATCGTTAATTCTTTGAAAATTACATTTAAGCAGATTTACAACAATATTTGTTAACTTATTAAATAATTACATGTAAATATTAAATGTTACACTAAGCTGTTAAATATAAACGTTAAATCTAAATACTAAATCTAAATGTTAAAAGTAAATGTTGAATCTATGTATTTCGGATCAAACTAAATATTTCATCAAATTCGCACTGTCGGTAACCACAAGTACCAAAATAAAAGCTCGAGGAGGTCAGACCGGAAGTGCGCAATCTGACAAAATTCCTCTGAAAACACAGGCACAGACAGATATACATCTCTTTATATAACAGTGTCATTTTTAATTTGCCATTAAATGGTCGTATATTTTTTATTTGAACACAATCCCAAGAGAAACACATGCTTGAATTTGCTTTTCTTGATTATTTAACATAAACAATATACAGTAGAGACATGTCAGCATGCATAACAACTGTGGTAAGAACCAGACATTATTTGGATGTCACCTGTACAGAAACTATCATTTTGTGTGGTCAATGATGCGTTTCAAGTTCAACAATGGTCCACTCCCCCTGTGGTGATGCAGCATCTTCTGGTGAGAAGCTGGTCACGCTGATGCTAGTGGAGGAGGTTGATGTGTCATCCATAGGGGATATGAGCTCTGCCCAGCGTGTATACGTTTCCTTTTCGGGTGACAGCAAAGCCTGCAAGTCTAGGTTGTCCCGTGAAAGGCATAATGTCTGCTTGATGAGGTACTGGGCCAGGTTAAGCTCTGAAGGGACTGGGTTTATTACACCCAGAGTGGACTTATATTCTGAGAGTAGCTGCCTTAGAAGGCTCCAGTCCCTCTCGGCAAAATAGTAACTTTTATCAAGGTCCTGCCTTTGTTGTTCTCCCACATCTCTTTGCTCTTGTAATTTGAAGATCCTGTCCTTGACTGAGCTGTGTCTGAAAGCTTCCGCCATGTCCCTCTCATAATTGGGGGACAAAGCTTGGGATAGGCTGCGGTCATGTGTGCAGATTTGATCCAGTCTCTCACAACCACTGTTCCCTAAAAGCAATTGACAATACCGAAAAATGACAAACGGGTTCATTTGTCAACATTTTTTTTTATATATATATATATAATGTTGTTTAAAAGGCTAGTTTCAGTAAAAACAGAAAAAAAATGTTTGACCTTCATTGCATTTTTTTTTTAAATAATGTTGTTTAAAAGGCTACCTGGATCATTAGAATATGAAGGCAAGTAAGCTAGTGATGAATCTATCACATTTACTTATACTTTTACACCTTAGGCGTGGTTGTACGAGGTACAATGCATTGTGAGGACCAACCTTTTGTTTCCAGTTTTATAACCATATATAACCAGGGATCAATTTATGGCTGCCTTTAAGTCACTGGTCTATTATGTAAAAAAAAAACCATTTGTACTGGTTGTGAAAATTATGACCACATTTTAAAATACATCCCAAAAAAAGGAAATGAGTTTGGGAATTGACAGATCTAATTTGTCAAAGGTATTGTATTGTTAAGGATATGTGTTTTTCACTCAGAAGCTAAAAATGTTGTTTATTTTAGCCTGGCAGCCTTTTTTTTTTAGATATATAAATATCATAAATAAAAGAAATGTAATTCAGGTGACCACACATGCATTATAAATGATTCCAAGGTAGCTATACGAAAAGGCACCTGACACACAGATACGTTAAGTTAAGAAACTTGTGTTGTGTTACAAAAGATTTAATTAAAAAAAAAAAAAAAAAACACAACAAAGACTGATTTATGTGTTTCCTGGTGGCTTTGTTTTGGTTCTTTCTCAGTCAGTATTAATATTTACAATGTATGATAACGCTAATAGAACTATTACTTTAAAATGCAAATACATCAGTTAGAAAAAAATACAGGGGGACGTTTTTGTAATGTATGCTGCATCTGCCCATTCCACAAGTGAGGCATGCTTTTCATTTAAGTCGTTTACTAAAGACATTTACAAACTGAGAAAAAAAACAAACAAAGATTAGCACACCACTAAGCGACACTCTTGTTTTTTTTTTTTTCTTCAAAAAAAATGATGATGTAACTGAAAACGTAAAGGTAATGTTACATCGAACACTTTTGGTGGAACGAAAAAAAGACAAGAGAGCAAACTGCTCTAAAGGGACATCACATATCGAAGACATTATGTCTGTTTGACATTTTTTTGACATATTTGCATCTACGTTATCCACTGAATTGGGACAAAAGGTAATGGGGACTGTAAAAACAGCGAATGGTTAAATTAAAAAAGGAATGGACGACAATGACAATTTGATAGCACAGTCATACGTATGACGTATTGCAGGGAACAACAATTTAAAAAAAGTCACCTAATGGTGGCCAAAGAAATGCAACGTAGCTTTCAGCTTCAGCATCTTTTGACCTTTATGCTTATAGAGCCTCTGCGATGATTTATTAGAAAATAAAACCTTCAAAGCTTTTGCACGTAACAATGTGAAACATCTCTACAGGGCTCTATAGATGATGTTTGTAACCTGCGTTCACTGGTAAATACTGTGTATTTTAGACTGACACACAAGGTACACAATAGAAGCTAATTGTGTACACAGTGGTGTAGTAAATGAACAAAGAAAATTACATAAAGAGAAAAAAAAATGTTAAGAAATGTAATAGGTTATAGGCTCCAGCTTAGTTTTAAATGCAAGGTCTAGGAAAGATCTATAGGTCATACATTACCTGGTGGATGTTGTGAAGCAGGTAAAGTAGTGTTCCTTTTCAGTTCATTCAGTACTAGGTGAAAGTCATCTTTCTTGTTTTCTGAGAGTTTTACGTGAATGCTTTGTGGACCGCCCTTGTATTGTTCAGCGTGTCGTAGGTCAAGCTGACACGGTCGCTCCTGAGGAGGAAGATCTCTGGTGTAGTTTATGATACTGGAATTACCCATGTCCTCCTTGGTGTATTCCCCCTTGACCTGCACGGACTCCTGAAGCTCTGGCAGGAACACTTGAGATTTTTCACATCTTCCTTCCTCGTTTTGAATATCGTTACTTTTTTGAAAATGGTTTTGTTGGTCACGGGGAGGGACGTCACAATGAGATGATGCATCGTCCGGTTTCTGAGTTGGTGTTTGTACATTGCCCTCCTCTGAGCATATCTCTTCGCACTCATCAACTGACAACAACAATGATCGATGGATTTTACTGTTGGGCTGGTTTTCCACTTGGCTTTTCTCATGGTCCAAAATGTCATCATCAAACGCTAGATTGACAATCCCTAAAGACTGGAGTGATGGGTCAACCGGCGCCATTAAAACCTGACTTGGAGTAACTTCCACGGCTGACCTTTCGTCTTCCGATTCCTCTTCGTTGTCCTCGTTTTCTTCATCCTCCGAGGAGAAGAGCTGGTGGTCCGGGACACGTTTTACACCCGCACTCAGCTCCGGCTCTGAGGTTTCCTTTGCAAAACAAACCTCATCTCTTACCAACCAGGAACGACGGTGGCACCTCTCAGTGTCCTCCTCACTGGTAGTCTCCACCTCCCTTCCATGCAGCCACACCTCAACCCTCAGCCCAGGCCTTCCTTCACACACGTTTAACTCCTCCGGAGTGCTTGTGTCACTGCTGCTACGACCCAGAAAATCATGACACTGCATGGTTCCACACTTGGAAACGCCGCGTTCATGTGAGAAGTCGTCGTCTTGAGAACCTCCGGCGTCGTAGTCCTCTGAGCGGGGCTTAATGTCATCGGAGGAGGTAGTGTGGGTGCTGCCAGTCTCAGATTCGGGGCTGACTTGAGGGTGGATTCCACTCAAGGAGTCCTCTAGTGGGGTAGTTGTGCTTACTACGTTGCAGGGCCTGTCAGCGGGGGATTCTTTACCTTTCTGCGAGTTTGGGAAGCTCACCACACGGGTCTGCACTTCGCTAATGTGACTACGGATGATGCTGTTGGGGGATTCGCTAGCTTCTTTTTCTTTAATCTGCCGACGATCATCTGAGAGATCAGAAATAACCTTGTTCTCGGTTGGCACACTTGTGTCTGACAATTTCAGCTTTGCACAGATTTGCAACTCTTCTTCTCCTTCTTGGTTTTTTGACTCCGTGCTATGTATCACTTGGTCACCAAATCCAGGTGCTTTAGGCGCTGCAACATGCTTACTGCTTTTAGTTGGGCCAGGCTCATATTTACAATTGATCCTTCTACTATTCTTTATCTCTCCTCCCTTTGTTGCTGACTTTTTGGGGGTCGCAGCAGCAGCTAAGGCTTTGGATGCAGAATTTGGTGAAAGCTTCTCCGCAGGTGTTTCGGTAACACTCCTCAGTTTGGGTGTACATTTGGCAGCAGTAACCGTAGACAGGGATTTGGTTGTGTCACTTGTTTCTGAACTCGTTTTTATGATCTTCTTTTTAGGTTTTTCACAATTGGTGTTGTGTCCTGTCGAGGCTTTTAAACTATTCCTGCCGTCTTCTTTTTTTTCTTGCTTTTTTGTAGAAAATCCCACCTTGGATACTGAATTAACAACACACAAAATACAATGATGGATATTTTACTGCATGATATGTTTGCAATTCTTTTTAGCATAAGCAAATACTTTACCGTGATGGTCCAATGTTCCTTTTCCTCTAGAAGAGCCTGTTCCTGGTGAATTGGACACTTTCTCAGCTGCACCAGTTTTTACTTTGCAGCCATCTTTAATACCTGTCCTACTGGAAGGACTGCAAAAGAATAAAAAAAAATTGATCAGAATCTACCTGGGATTCCCCGATTTAAATTTAAATAATTGATCAAGACAAAGGTAGCAGTCTATGCAAATAATGTAAACATGTTTTAGCTGTGAGTTATCAGACTGATATCTGCTTTCATAAATACTATATCATTATCATTATATCATTATTAGGATATTTATAAACTTGAAAAAGTTGAAAAGTAAACCACCTGTTGGTCTTTCTGGAGTCTAATTTCTGAGGTTTCGTCAGTGGGACTTTGTTCACTGCTTTGATCTGCGACTTGGGTTTTTCTCCTGAAATACAGAAAATCATGAAAAAGAAATCAAACACTGATTTGTTTGTTCATCATCCAGGTAATTGATTATTGTGTACTGTTAATATTCACTTAAAATCCTGCAAACACATTTTCAAAACATTTCCTAAAATAAAATGGGAATTCAAGTTAAGGAATTCAAGTCAATTTTTTTTTGCTTATTTGTTGTAGTATTTCTACTTTTTTAATCCTTACAAAACTTTCACTCTCACTATAGATAGGCTGTTACGGTTGCGTATTCATACAGAACCATTAGGTAGAGAACATTTGGCACAAATAGATAATGAATACATAGCAAAAACGTATGTCTTTCTACATTCATTTCACATTTGTGTGACTGTCTAACTAACAGCATATGTGTGCTGATATGTATGTTGTTTAGCTGCCTGTGCATACCTATAACATATGGGGACACTATTTCGTAATGGTACTATGGTAACATATTTTTATAAATATCATTAAGAGACTAAACCTGAGGTGGATTTTGTGCCTTTACTTGGGCTGCTGGCTCCATTCTCCAGTGAGGTGCTGCCAGACGAAGAAGCAACAGGCTGAGAACACAGCAAGGCGGACGGGCTGACCTGTCCTTTTCCTACTGGACTCTTCTGAGGCTTTGCAGATGATGTGCAGGTTGAGGCCACCATTTTAGGCCTGATACCTAGGTTTGGCTTCTTTTGTTGCCCTTTAGTTACGTAAGAGCTTTTAGGGTGGGTGGTGGCTGCTAAATCTTGTGTCACAACTGAATCCTCAGTGTCGTTGGCAACCAGTTCGGAGGCTGAAGATGACTTTTCTTTTGCTGCTGCTATTCCATCATCTAACATTTTTGCAGTCGTAGATGATAACGAGTGACCTTCTCCTGGTGTGTTGGCTTTGGCCAGTCCTTCAGACTTCATGAAGGATGCAGTCCTACGAATTGAAGTCTATCTGCACACAGCGGTCTGATGAGGATCAAATAAAGGCCATTTTACAATTATTGCTGAAAGAAAAAACATAGAATGCAATCAATCAATTTTTTTTTAATACATGGAAAAAGACATTGTTTTTGTTTTTTTAATGAATGTAACAATTTATAATAATGTAATTTTACAATGAATTTATTTAAAGAATCCAATAAATAAAGGTTATTACTTTAACAATTTTATAATTTTTTAGAAGAAAAAGGTGCAATTGGAAGATGCTGGCATCGTCAAGCAGCGACTGTTGCTGCATGTTAGCATTTATCAGCATCAGGAGCGCTTGTCTTTTTTTCTTTCATACACCCATTACACTCTGCCTATCTATTAATAGTTATTGAAATACATACAAAATCCTTACTCAAACGACAGCGTCTTGTTTCGGTGTGTACTGTGTGGCCGCTATTTCTTTTCATCTCTGTTTTATTCCTTCGTTCCTCTCAATTCAAGCCCGTTCTACTGCGAGAAGAAAACAACTACAACTCCAACCAGTTAACTTAAAAGAGAAAAGCTTTGCTTGTGATTGATCCAATACAGTGAGCGACGTACTTTCATAACTAAATAATGGTTGAAAATGATAACACGTTAACTTGGCCAGCTGATAATTAAATGTGTAAATTTCTCCGGCAGATCTGAGCGGATTCAAATGTAGCTTCAAAAAGTTTCTTGAGAAATGTAAAGTACTGTATGGTACCGTACTTTTAATATTGCCTGTGTTCATATTATGGTCTCAATATCATGCAAAATTGACTTTTTCTGGGTGTAATGTGTCCGACAACTAATAGATGTTACATCATTTTCCTAAAATCTGGAAGTGTCTTCTTCAAATGTCCTTCCGTTTTTGAGGACCAATACTGTAAACAACTCAAAGGTTAAGCACATCTGCTCATTCTGCACTGTACTAAATGAACATTACGCAAACACAAAACTAGGCAGACAGCCACTGACGGTGTGCAACTTTCATTGGTCTTCTTTGGTAGCTCCAACTGCGTTAAAGAGAACCAAGTATTGTGGTTTATAATGTTTAAAATCAAATTTAAATTTGTATGTATGTGAAGGTTGTTGAGGTAACAAAAACACAAATACCCAGGAGCTATAGTTACCCCCAGGGAAGGTTTACCACATTTAATTTGGACAACAGGAATTCATATTATTTGCATTAAAAAACAGTGTGTCCATTTAAATTCCAGGGATTCTCCTGACATCGTGAAATCAAATATTTTGAGGAACCGGCCCTCTCTGAGCCACACCATCAGTCACATACGACTTACCAATTCCGACTTGAATTTAGGTCCTTGCGGTTACAGTTTTGCTTCGAGGAGTGAGGATTGCTGTTTGGCATTCCAGCAACAACCGGGCTCTGGTGTGTTGACCAAGAACCAAAAGTCCTGCTGCTCCTGTTTTATGGATAGGTTAAACTCAGGGAACAATTTTTGCTGTATGTGCAGACGTATGAACAATAACAGATGAAACTGTTTTTATTTCAAATGAAATCACATTATCCAGACTTTGCAATGCATATATTGTCTTGGAGCGACACTGATGCTAGCAGTAACATTCCAAAAATTAAGCAAAGAAAGGGGAGTGGAGAGTCTAACAAAATGGTCAAAAACCACAGTAAGGTTCATTGCAAAATCATTTTACATGTGAGTTTGTATATATGTAAATAATGGCTTTTCATCAACTCATCCAATCTATCCTTTATTGTTAATATATAAAGAAAGGATTAAAAAATAAACCAGGGGTGTCAAACTAATTTTGATTCTGGGGCCACATACAACCTAATTAGATGTCAAGTGAGCCAGACCAACAATATGTATATATTAAATAAAACTTAACTATATTTAATTATTTTTTTTATTAATGATAATGAAATTTTACAAAACATTTCCTGAAGACGGAGTGTACTTTTTTTATTTTCAAAATTAATCATGCTGGGTCGGTTTTGGCCCGCGAGCCATTTGTTTGCCACCCCTAAGCGAAAACGTAATGCATTGTTTTGTTAATGACAGCTCAAGTGCATCTTTCCTAATTTTGTTTTTAACACATTTTGTGTTGGACTTGGCCACAGGAATGTAAAAACATTAGAACAACACGTTGATGCACAGCTGTGCATTGATATTTAATCAAACAATGGCGTCGTATGCCCTTGATAAATACATGGCTAAATGATTTCAGTACACTAGCTTGCTGGAAACCAAACACACAAATGTGCTCTCTGTCAAGAATGTGGGGCAAAATTCGTGATACATACTGTAACATCCCATTACACCGGCAAGAAATACAGGAGCTGAAATTGACGAAACACTGGTAGTGCTGAATTAATTATTATTGAACGACATATATTGATATTTATGGCCCAACTGTAGCATGTACACACGGAAGCACCTAATTGTGAAGTGCGCAATAATGTGAAAAGACGACAATTTAAAACCATTCGAAAAACAAACATGGCGCATTTTCCAGGAATCACAAATGAAGTAATGACGACAAAACATCGCGCTAAATATGGAAATAAATTGCAGCGCGAATGAAGCAGTAATCAGGACCCGTGTGCTAGCCCAAGCTAATGGGGAGGAAACAGACACACACACACACACACACATACACCGTTATAATCTCTCCTACCTGATAGTATCTTCTACCTGTGCTTATAATGGTCTCCCATTTCTGTTCAGTAAAAAAAAAAAAAAAAAAAAAAGGGTCAGCAGCGGGAGAATTTTGTTTAAAAGATTGTCGAAGAATACGCTATCCTCCTCGAATGGCTGTCGGATGAAAGGAAGGATAGAACACGAGAAGTCCAGTACGGTATCTGCGACAGTGGTGGGCGAATCAGCAGCTGCTCGAAGAACCTTCACCATGGCAACAGATATCCCTCCCTCTTTCAACCCTCCTTGCCTTGAAATGGATAACAAGGATGGGAGAAATGTACATAGTCTGGCTGGAAACAAAAACACAGGTCTTTAAACTCCATCAATCTCCGCCTCTATCTCTATCAGCAAGTATATATATATGTATATATATACATATATATACATATATATATATACATATATATACATATATATATATATATGTCAGAGGAGAAAAACTTGTGGAAAGGAGCTTAAATATATGTTACGATTATAATGTAATTTAAAAAAAAAAAGAATCATAAATAAATAAAGGTTAATATTTAAATAATTTTATTGTAATGTAATTGAAAGATGCTGGCTGGAATCCGATTAATCACAAATCACTATAGCTTTGTATTAAATTAAATGTATTTATTCATGATAAACCAAATGATCACTTACTTTTTTTTTTTTTTTAATCAGAGGTCAGGTCGCAGGCCCAGTAGCCAAAGCAGAGAAGCCCAGACCCAAGTCTCACCTGTCACTTGATTAATCAACGTTCCTGAACATGACAAAAACATCTTTTTCCTATTTATTTTATTTAGACATATAACAGCAGGTTGGAAAAGGTGTTTCACAGCTGTTTTTAAATCGGGAAAATATGCAGAATAAGAGAAGTATAATTCAAAATGTTCGCTCCATAGATTTTTAGTCATTACGGTACATCTTCACGACGGCTTGAGTTGTTATCAGAACTTCAGTAACTTGTCTTAAACCATCATATCAACTGTAGACTTACTACTATCTGACCTAAAATGGAATGCATTCTAAATGTTCATCCTTTTCTAACTAAAAAACAATGCTTGTGTAGCTTTCAAAACTGGACACCCTTTTATAACAAAGGTCACAGTCCTCGTGTATTTTTTTTTTTGAAGACAATAAAATTCAACAAGTGAATGAACCTAAAACCAATGCACATAAAAACGAGGGCGAAAGTAGACGTTTACTTTTAGCTGATGAGATATGTGAGAATTTCATCAAAGAAAGTTCCTCTATTTAAACACATTAATCAGAAGAAGGGAACTGAAGAAAAAAAAAATAGGTTCGAAGGGGGACTTGACAAAAAAAAAAAAAATGACAGTCTGCAGTGTAGCAGATCTGATGTTGAAATTACCAAAAAAAACTATAAACTATAAACCAACCCATGATGCACAACTCAACCACAGCTGCGACATGATGTACTTATTTTTACACAAATGCGATCCTCCTCTCTTCCCCCTACACAACGGTCCAATTTGCCTGTTGCACAAATGGTTTGTGTGTTGCCGTTCTCACAAGTCATTTTCTAACTCCATCCGTTCTAACACTAAACACTCTCCTGTCACATTTACGGAATCTTTTTGTAAGTTGTCTTAGGCCTTAGGAGATTGCCTGCCCAACAGTACCAATGGACACAGCTTCATTTAGCGCTTGCTGATATTCATTTATTTATCTGTGCAATACACTGTATGTAGTTGCATACTGCATACAATCCCCTGATTTTTAAAAAAATACATTAATAAAGCCTACTCTGCTGCCATCTAGTGACTGGAGGCTTGTTTATCATTTAACATCCCACATCACCAAACTGACTTGAAGCACGACAGTGGCCTCATCCTGCCGTGGGCTGTTCTGGATCAGCTGGCACAGCGTGTCTTTACACAGACATTGGTCCTAGCGTCAACATTGTCCAGGAGGATATACACTGAATCTCATTTCAAATTCCCCATAATTGAAAAGAATGTCCTCTTTCAAGTTTAAATTAAACAATGTCTTCAAATGTAAATTTATGTGAAAAAAAAAACAAAAAAACACCACAGCTCAGCATCACCTGTCAGAGATGGTTAAGACGGATCAGAAGGGAGAGGAAGCTGCTGTGTCAGTTAGGTCCTGGAGCTTTTGCATCCATGTCACTCCTTGAGAAAAGTCCACATGAGGGTGTTTACAATCTCAGGCTGGTCCTGCTGCAGCCAGTGACTAGCGCCAGTGATGATGTTGAGACGAAAGTGGTTCCTGATGTAGATGCGACACGTCTCGGCCATTTCCTGCTCCAAAAAAGTGTCGTGCTCACCCCACAGAAGCAGCACTGGAGATCTGACATGTTTCTGGCTCAGGGGAAAGAAGCTGAAGAGAGCAAAAGTGGGAAAGAAGACTGAGTTAAAGTTGGAGACATTTTATCATCAAAAAGGTCATTTATCTCATTTTAGGTGGACACGTATCTATTATTTTGGTTCATTCATTTTGTTTGAATTAGAGAAGGCTCGATCTGACACCCGGGATCGGTCAGATCAGTCAAAATTGCAGAATCAAATATTGAAAAACACAACAGTAGTCTGTCGTCTGTCATATTGCAGACAAGGGTGACGTGCAATATTATCCATTGTCACTTGATTGATCTGATAGCTATTCTCTATTCATTGCAAATATTTTTTTCTTTGTCCGTCAATGCATAGCGACATTCAGAACTATTAAATATTCCAATAGATGGCAGTAGAGGTCCATGAAAACAAAAACAAAACAAAAAGAATCAGAAGTTTGTGTCTTTTTTTCAATTCCTGTGAATATGTTGTTGTCTTCAACTAAACAGGCATAGATTTTACCCGTTAGTAAATTGTGAGTAAACAAAACATATTTATATACATTTCATTACATATACTTTTTATGAGATTTTTCTTTGGTGGAGTGCCATGTTTTTTTATTTGTTTTTTTTTTTGAATGACAAATATGTAGAACACTGGGAGCTTAAAAAGCATTTAATAAAGTCAATGATGCAGAGTTTCTCAACCTGATAAATCAAAGGTTTTTTTTTTCGTATTGTATACCTTAAAAGCTGTAAATTGACTGCACCAGGAGTGGAGAGGGCCCAACAAAATTTTGTTGTTATGCTAATGCAAATGAAAATAAAGGCTACTTGATTTAATTTGATGCGGAGTTGCCAGTACTTGAAAGCGAAGTGCAGTTATCAGTCGACAGATGAATCGGTTACTACTGACTAATCTATCACAGTACTTCAACTTCAGCTGCTGTATTAGCTCAGCTAACAGGGTATCCTTTGCATTCGCTTACTTTAAAATATCGAGCTATCGACATGGTCTCACAGGCAGACTGTTTTACGTAGGACAAATTAAGAAGAAAGCATTTCTAAAAATAGGTTTGAAAGTGTTTCATTTTCTTATGGTTCATATTTCCATTACCGTATGTTCTGGACTATAAGTTGCTTTTTTTTCATCCTTTGGCTGGGTTTGTGACTTATACTTTGGTGCGACTTCGTATATTAAAATATATCATTTCACATGTTCATTATTTTCACACTGACAGCCCCTAGAGGGCACTCTCGCTGGCCGTTGTAACATATACTCCGGAGCGGTTTATATATGTTGGGTTTTTATTTCTTCTGCATTATGCATTTTTTTTCGCTGGTGCAACTTATACTCCGGAGTGACTTATAGTTCGGAAAATACGTTACATATTTTCCAAAAGTAACTGTTTTTAGTCTGTCATTTCTTGGTGTATTGTTGTCCATTTCTCTTTTTCCGTTTTGTAGCATTTAATACTTTTGTTATATACTACAACTGGTTATTTTTCATGTAAGAATACAGCATTGGGTATTTGTTGTTCTGCTGTAGTTTAGGCAAGTAAAGGTAGTGTCACATTGGCATTTTATTAGTGACTTGGTCTATGTGTATAATTAAAAATGCAATAATCCCTGACATTTTCATAATTAACTTCGTGTTGTCCTTTGGGTCTAGGTGATGATATGCCTTTGTGTGTATGTGTGTGTGATGCTGCACTGCAAGGCTTGAGCCAAGTTTTCCTCTGAATACTCTGATTCTGGGACAACACGTAAACTCGTTGCGAGGACGCTGTGGCTGTGGACAAAAAGCAAAGGACCATGGGAGGGTTAAATAAAGGGTGTTTTGTCCAAAGTAAAAACAAACAACTGTGGACTTAAAGAAAAATACTAAATATCTTTTTAGCTGTAGCTCCATCATCTCCCTCTCAACTATAGGCAGCTGACTCTAACATACTTGCAGTACATTTAAAATGAAATACTTTTTCTCTTTTTTAAGAAGCTTGACAGTGTGGGTCCCAGATGGGCTAGTCTCACTGCCTTCTTCTTCTTTTGTTTCATGTGCTGGATTAAGTATGTCCTGTGGTTCAAATGTTTTGTTGTAGTGAACCCAGACAGCGTAAGTAAAATTATTCCAGTTAAACTACCGATGTAGTTTTTACCGTCACTTTCTAAAAGCAATGTTCCTTTATGTTATATATGTATAAGACAGTGAATCAAATGGATCTCACAATGGCAGGTGCATGATGTGTTGGTTAAGCAGCTACAGCCCCGTCTAAGCTTCAGAGAGAGTAAAGACACCTGGGGGTTCAAATGTGACATCTGCCTGAGGTTTTTTTTTGCTTTTGTATCTGATGCATCATGCTCTCTGTGAGCGGGACATTTTCTCACCTGAAGACGTTTCTGTAGTAGTTGAGAGCGCCAGTCAAAGCTCCCGGCTGAGACAGGGCGTAGAGATAGGCCTCTAAATCCTCTGCGGTAAGCCAGCGGCCTTTCCTCCCAATCCCTGAGCTACGGCTGGTGAATAGTGATTTGACAGCCTGAAGTGTAGAGACAGCAATATAATAGACCTGCCACAATGCGGTACAACACAACAGCAGAGGCAGAAGATTACATCAAGTTTCTAGGGATGTCCGATAACATTGGACAACCGATATTTATTCTTTGCCGATATTAGCTTAATTACGTTATGTCGCTAAGAATCATTATCGGTTTTACCTTGATAATGAAAACCTGATAACACAATG